GTTGGGCCACGTGTTGCGCATGCCAGCACACCGACTTCCGCGACGTGCAATGTTTGCGCGTTCTGGGTGCGGTTGGAAGAGGAGGAGGGGAGGCCAAGCGATGACTTGGTCGAGAAAGATGAAAACCCTCACTTCGAAGTTGGCGTTGGTTGGTGCATCCCGACTGCGTTGCTGGGGTCCTAAGGACGGTGAACACGTTTGGTTGGACACACTTGCTGATATGGCTTGGAGCTGGCCCCAATGGCGTTAGTGTTGTGAGTTCCTTTGTCCATCCCCCTCCTGCTTAGCATCCCCCTTCAATCAAAATTTCACTCCTTAGGCATAATATAAATCTCTTTTTGCGGCATGATAGCCAGCTGTTAGCTCTCCGGAACGATGTCAATCCGCTACTGGGGACTCAGCCGGCGTGCCACTGTTTGTTTTCCATTTCTTGTCTTTTGTATTGCGACGCAATACAAAAGGCGTTTCCCACCTGCAGCTAAGGTGTATAACCATGACGATGACGATGACCGACGCGTTGGATTTTAAGCAGAAAATCAGCAATTTGCTTGCAAAAAATGTGGAGTAATGTGACTAGACGATGTTCAGACTACATTTCAATCATGCTAATGCAACCAAATTGTGTAACCAGCGGGTGTCACTGCAAACTCTTCTCTTGATCGTGGACCTCGATCAACGGTGGTGATTGAGTATCCCCTATCTCCCCAACTGTCTTCTCGCAGTTTATGTGCTTCCGACTTTACACATGAATCTGTGTAGCTATGTGAATATCGGAAAGTCAGGCACCACAATCACGTAGTCTATCATGACTTAGACAAATGTTACCTAGCATTGGAGGGTCGTTGTGAAGCGCTCACTTTGAGCATGGATTCCGTTGCGCCATATCAATGTGGACCGCGATTCCCACTGAATTAAACCTTGGCCAATTCGATCACCTGGACTGTAACTGATGTAGTAGATAGGTGGCGATCCAGTTGTCCCTTGTCACTCTATGGGCGTCCGCATATTCTGTGTGGGCTAACGTATTCAGCTGCCCGATTATTGGATCAGTGCAGGCTTACATGACTCCGCCAAACACAGCATAGTTTTACTAACCTACTGATGCAAGTCGTTATCAAAGAAAGGGGATTAGAATTACTGGACAATGTTCAGACCACATTGTGCCCGCGCGAATGCAGCGGGACTGTGCACGCAGTGGGCGATTGTGCAAGCCTTCCTTTCGACCATGGGCGAAGTCCACCTTGAGCAAGTCCGGCAACCAAGTTGTTCCGCGTCACCCTATGGGCTTTCGCGTATTTCCTGTGGGTGTGTGGGCGAACTTATGCAGCGCAATTACTGGAACACTGTTGGCTATTACTAATACACCTAAAGCAGTCTAGGTTCATTGGTTTACAGCTGTAGCTTTTTATCAATTCAGGTGAGCAAGGGGATTGTACGATAGTCCGGCAGCATTGTGCACAGGCGAAGGTAACGTAACTGCATAAGCACTGGGCGATTGTGCAATCCTTGCTCTTTATCATGGGTGTCATTTGCCTCGATCAGAACCCGTGACCCAGTTGTCCTCTGTCACTTTGTGGGCCTTCACGCACTTTATCTGGGGGTGTGGGTAAACCTATTCACCTGCTGGAATATTGCAACAGTGTATGCTAATGATGAATCCACCAGAACCAGCCTAATTGTGCTGGTCTAAAGTTGCATTTTCGCATCAAGGCAGGGAAGTAAAGTGGCTAGACGATGTTCCCGCCGGAATTTGGTCAGGTGAATGCAACGAGACCGTGCAAACAGTGGGCAGTGATGCACGCCTTTCTATTGATCATAGGCATCATATACCTCCATCGGAGCCAGTGACACAGATGGCCTTGCACCCCATGGGCATCCGCGTATTTTATGTGGGTGTGTGGGCAAACCTACTCAGCCACTCGATGATTGGGTCAGTGAAGGCTATCATGACCACCAAACCCAGCATCGTTTTATTAGTATTTTCCTGCACGAAACGACCGAAATGAGCGACGAACGACAATCGCCCACTGGTCGCTCAGTTATGTTACATTCGCAAGATCAAAATGTGGCCTGCACATTGTCTAGTCGACTTACACATTCGGGACTTATTAAGCATTGCTTTCTTACTCGTAATATACCATTGCTCTACTTTCCCTTGATAACAAACTGCAGCATCGGTCCAATAAAGGTACGGAGTAATGATAGCCTATACCGTTCGAATAGTCCTGTAGCTGTATAGGTTCGCGCACACACCCACAGGAAATACGCGAAAGCCCATAGGGTGACGCGGAACAACTTGGTTGCCGGACTTGCTCAAGGTGGACTTCGCCCATGGTCGAAAGGAAGGCTTGCACAATCGCCCACTGCGTGCACAGTCCCGCTGCATTCGCGCGGGCACAATGTGGTCTGAACATTGTCCAGTAATTCTAATCCCCTTTCTTTGATAACGACTTGCATCGGTAGGTTAGTAAAACTATGCTGTGTTTGGCGGAGTCATGTAAGCCTGCACTGATCCAATAATCGGGCAGCTGAATACGTTAGCCCACACAGAATATGCGGACGCCCATAGAGTGACAAGGGACAACTGGATCGCCACCTATCTACTACATCAGTTACAGTCCAGGTGATCGAATTGGCCAAGGTTTAATTCAGTGGGAATCGCGGTCCACATTGATATGGCGCAACGGAATCCATGCTCAAAGTGAGCGCTTCACAACGACCCTCCAATGCTAGGTAACATTTGTCTAAGTCATGATAGACTACGTGATTGTGGTGCCTGACTTTCCGATATTCACATAGCTACACAGATTCATGTGTAAAGTCGGAAGCACATAAACTGCGAGAAGACAGTTGGGGAGATAGGGGATACTCAATCACCACCGTTGATCGAGGTCCACGATCAAGAGAAGAGTTTGCAGTGACACCCGCTGGTTACACAATTTGGTTGCATTAGCATGATTGTAATGTAGTCTGAACATCGTCTAGTCACATTACTCTACATTTTTTGCAAGCAAATTGCTGATTTTCTGCTTAAAGTCCAAGGTGTCCAGTGGGATGCAACAAGTTTATTTTTTTTGCAAAATGTCCAAGTCTTTTGCATAAAGTTGAAATTAAATAAATAACATTTGTTTATTTACCGTCCATAGTGGCTTGAAAAATGTCCGAAGCGGTTTGCAAGATGTCCAGTTGAATTTGAAGATGAAATATATCAGCGCATGTGCAGGCGGGCATTTGTGTGCGGGTCACATTTTTATGAGGTTGGATGCAATGGCATGCGATGTATATGATTGTCGTAAAGATTACATGGGATTATTTTTGTGGGCGAAGCATGGGATAGTTCCATAGTAACTGACACATTGGTGTGACGCTCATGGAAATTAACTGTACGGATGTCAGGGGAAGAGAGCTTGTGCTCCTTCAAAAGCCATTGTCGATTTTCTGGATTACGTAACTTTTTGACCGAAGAGATACTTTCGGTAATTGTTGGAGTAGGATCATTATTCCGTTGTTGGTCAACTAGGGATACCCGGCGAGAACGACAGCGTCGGGCGAAATGGCTCCGCTTGCCACAATTTTTGCCATATGTTGTGCGTGCCGGACATGTTTGATTGTCCGTTTTGTGACGAGAACTTCCACATCGGTAACACAAGGCATTCACATTGTGAGATGGCGCGTAAGCTTTGTTCTGAAGTTTATTGATATGAAATGTTTCATTCATGTTGTACAAGTGCGACTGTTTGAGCATAGCTCTTTTGAACCTGGCGATCTCTATGGTTTTGTTCTCGGAAATCTTCAAATGTTCTTCGGAAAGTAGAGATCAGTGATGCCGGCTATTAGCTGCTGGGTCAGCATAACTCCCTCAACTCTCTCTCTCTCTCTCTGGGACGCTGGCGTAATCACAGGTTTTCACGGCACGGATCAAGTGGGGAAACGAAGTGCTCCAGTGGATCTGAGTCCTCTTTCTCAAACGGCAGCATTTGTAAGCTACTGCGAAAATGTAAGGTTGCACATCCCAAGATCAATCCAATACTTCCAACATCTTTACGGTCGTGTCCACCTGTGGTAGTTCCAATGCGTCAAAGTAACTTTGGCGTTCATCGCCTAACAAGTGGCGAAGATGTTTCAACATTTGAGTTTCACTGTACGTAACTTTTGACGGTAGTAAGTCCAAGTGATTCGTAAAAGTTTTCCATTAAGCCCAATCGCTCTCGGTAGGTCTGACACAAGAATCGCACCAGAACGTTTCCGGAGGTGGAAGGTTAAATGCCATTGTAGCGGCTCGCATCCGCGACGCCAACGTTGTATCCCAGTAAGCTCATTAGACCTATCCGCAGAACAGCCTCCGCAGCAGCACACATAACCAGCACTGACTGTAATCGGAACAAACGCACGACGATCTTTGAAAACTGTATTCTGCCTTTGACTCCTCTCTTCACAGGCGTACTATCAGCGAGTGATCGATAAATCTCCCTCCAATCAGTTGCGTGCGTACGCAAGCGAGAACGTAGAACTGTCAGTTAGCGCACACGTTGTCGTCTACTCGGACTCCCCAATAGCGTACATACTTCGGTCCCACCAAGAACGCAACTCATAGCCTCTAGACATTGGCAGCGTATGCAACTAGGTCATAGATGGCGGCGATCGACCGTGTGCACAAGTTTATTACTTACCTGTTTTACCGGTACGTGTCTCTTTGTTACCTCAATTTTTGCAGCATATTCGCTTAAAGTAAGCTTCTGAACGGCGGCAAAAATAAGCTCTAAGAGATACATTTGAATTTGTTGGAAAAGATCGAATTACTCTTCTTTATGAATTACCATCATATGTAGGCTTACTACACACCACTATGAGTTCATTTTACAGAGTAGTTATCCTGCTCATATTAGCGCTTTTCTTGTGCCTACTGCTCCGTTCGTTAGCTGATATTATTTGTTAACCATTCCTAGTTAAATTAAATGCGGCTATCTAGAAACTAGGTTATATTACTTGAAGTGACTTACTTGCAGTGTACGACAATGGGGCTCATCATTCCGCGGAACGATTTATTTACCTTCCTATAATAAAAAGATATGGTTTAATTTTGTCGTGATTTGTTAAGTAAGTGTCTATTTTGCATGCTGATCAAAGCACTCCACTGCATCAGGCTCGGTTTAGGTTAGAATGAACTGGACTCACCTTCTGAACTCCAGTAGGGACTTCGTTTTCAGTTTAAGTGTTTCGTCATCCCATGTTAAGTAGTGGAACTGCGTCACAGTCCTCGTCTCACTGGATTCCAGGTTTTTCAAGTATAAGGATCGTACGACGTAGTCCTCGCACCAGCTGTGCTCGGAGACCAGGTGGACCTATATTGACGTTTTGAAAGTTAATGGAAACATCAGCTTAGTAGGTGTTGCATATTTGGATGATTGTGTTTGATTGTAAGACTGTCAATAGATACGCTTGACTTTTTACATGTTGATAAGTGGTTGAATGCGGTTTGAGCCTACGAATTTCACTGGAGACGTGCGACTGGATCTCAACCATTCATCCATATCGAATGCATGCTTTTCACACCTTTTCGCGTCTTACAACATGTGTGCCCGCTCAAACTTTTCTCAGTCGGATCTCAATTCAATGTGTAACTGATATTCGTCTGACCTTGGTGATTGTCGAGGCTGAGTCTATCGTTTGTGCGTATGCTAACTATCATCCCATATACGCCTGTTGGATGTTTATGGAGGAACCGGCAAAGGAGAATACTCAGTCAGTCAGGTTTACCTCACATATAAAATATCCTGATGCGCCTAAGCGTCGGACGATCGTAAATCGCGAGGTATGACGAAGTGTACGTGTACGTAGAGTCCGATCGTAAATAGAGCAGGCAGCGACGCGCACAATCACAACAATCCGGCGGCAACCAAGGTAGAACCACGGAAGACGAGCTCGAAACCAAGTGTGTGTATATATAGTTAATTAAAACAAAGCTGTACAACAGCTGCAGCGAAATAGGTAAGCGTGAAAATGAAAAATAGGTAAATTATTTACAATCGCTACATGTTCCTTGACTATGCACCAAACTCCTGGCCCAAATTGAGAACTAGAGTTGAACTGACTTACTGAGGCATCAGATACAGCAATTTACTCGGAACCAAACACCTGATTAGTTACACAGGTGTCCAAACCTTCAGATTTCGTTGGGATTGTTTGATGCTGACTAGCTTGGATTACTATGCACTGCGTTTATGAAATGCTTACCGGTGGTGCACATTGCGGGTGGTGCGTGGCACCATTCTTTGTTGTTGCAGTGCGCATATCCACCAGTTAATCAGTATTTTCACTCCTTTAATGCTTTAATGTTAATTGATGAATGGCATGACTATGCTTGTTCACCGTAAGTTACTATGTGACTTCACACTTTGCCAATAGCAAGCTTAGTTCTGCGCCTGTATACATTGTTTTTATGAACAATGCCATAGCTCTAGCACCAAAGGACCGCGCAACCGCCCATTTCACTTAGGAGTTGAGAGTAACTGATCGTTCTACTGGTCTCTATTGCTGATAGGAATGAATACAGCACTCTTCTACTCGGACTACCACAAACGACTTACACTCGCTCTCCAAACCTCTAAGGGTTATCCAGAGAGTGTACATTTACTTGCTCACCTCAAATGTTCCGTATACCTTGGTTCCTTCATCAGGCCAGTATGTTACCGAACAATCCTCAGCATTTTCTTGCATGTTTGGCCTTTTAATTTCGCTAGGACGCTCCAAATTCACCAGTACCACGCAACATTGCTCCCAAATCATTTCCCAAAAGTCAGCCAATGTTTCCACCATTGGGCCTGGAGTTGCTATGTATATTGGATTCCGTGGGCTATGATCGTACTGCAGCGCAGAAACATAGAACAAACAAAAGAGTTTAGAACGATAATAATACCAATAATACTAATAATAGGTAGTTACTGGCCGCGAGCGAGATTTTTCCCCTAATAGGCACTGCTTATTTGTAAAACTGGGAACATGCTCTTGCGTGTGTAATGAATGCATTTACCACTATGTCTGCACTATTCCTTATATATATATATATATATATATGTAAAAAGTCGCTCCCATCCACATGCCTACCGGTCTTATTCCTTCGGGTTTACCCTAGATATGGGATGTGTGGGTGGTGCAGGGCAAGCCACCCATGATACATTTGTAGGCGCACGCGCCCAGTGGCTAGCCACAGTGACAGCCAAATCCGAAATCGGATACCGCCAACGATATACCCTACAGATGGCCATTTAAAATCCACCAGAGTTATATAACTGTTCAATAACCACGCATCCCTCGATGCTCTATAGCAATTTACAGCCATAGCGTATTATACCAAACTTTTAGCTTGGCACATTTTCGAAATCGCGTGCTGTACATTCAAGTGCGCGAGGCTAAGAACGCTGTTTTGGCGTCGTTAACACTCTCAATGGTCATGGGACGTTAGCCAATGGGACACCGGTTGAAAGCCCCGAGCATAAGCGACAGACAATCCAATGAAAGTGGTCGAGCACTATTGTACTGCCCTGATCCGCGATGATTTCTCTCCAAACTGAAACTGTCCAATGGGCAACTTGTGATATCTGTCTAAGGAGGGGATCCTAGCTACCACATTATCCAAAGATTATTCCGTAACCAGTGCGGATGGACATGCAAACCATCACATGAAGCGGTCTATAGTTATTGATTGCTAGCCGCTACCTGGTGGTGGCTTATTTTAGCGGCCTAACCACGGTTACGCTGATGGCGTAGACAGACATTCTTCTAATTGGTATTCCGCAGTCCCTTATGTCTGACGGAGTCATCAAGGCCCGCATTTGCGATTGGTCAGGCATACGTCGTGGCTAGGACACTGCACACCCTAAGCTGAATCAGTAATGGCTGCTAGGCAGTTGGACAATTTTGTGCAATTGTTATCGCGACGATGATGGGGGTAGGTAGACCAACCTGAAGCTTAACAACCCATGTTCTATGGGTGCTTACTTCTATCACAATTGATGACTAAACACAAACATTGTTCCAACTAGGAGGATTTCAACTGTGGCGGTGACACGACAGTAGTGAGCATACGTTTGTCTCCACACCCATGGGCGACTTCGTTAATGAGTTATCACTTAAGGGTCAACAGGTATGGTCTTAGTTAAAGGTTATAGGAAGGATGCGGAACTTATGATTTCATAGGATAACTAGGCCTTACTTTCATATGGTCGCCCATAAGCATGGGGACGCTTTGACAAGTGGCCCTCCAAATGGCACCATTACAAGCATAGTAAATGCAGATGGAACCTCTCTATTAGTTCCATGGACTGGAATGCTACCCTTATTGAATCAGCATTACTCGGCAAAGAAACACCTACGGGGGCTACAAAGACGACCGTATTTATAAATGCCACATCGTCCTGCAAGGAGAAACGCAGAGACCAATACTTAGTTGCGGCACACGCATTTTACTCTGGTAATTCAGGTGAATACTTGAAACAGGCAAACACTGTTGTCTCACCCACGGGTGTTCCTACAGCATGTTTGCAATCATTTACAAAGGCAAGCGCGCCCACTACTCCTGATATGGACCACTGTTTCAATCAGTCTTACGAGCAGTCATGTGTGCACGTCGTGACATACGTTGTTATCGACTTGGCAACTACTCAAACATTGTCATTGGAAAGTAAGTAATTCCGGAGGTATTGTTGAAGAGGGAAAATTGCTCCAAATTTTATGCTTACAATGCGTATGCAGTGCTTGTTGGCGGGTCATATCAAGGCTGTAGGGTCACCTGGCATTTCAAGCTTATCAATCACATGGAAGTGAAGCGTAAATATCATGTCAAAACGCAGGATTGGCATGAACCTTACGACCTTTAAATAACGACAGATGCATGGGCACTGAAGCAGTAACTGCTTACCGAAGTGGCCCATAGGTGTAGAGACGAACGAACACTCACTAATGTCATGTCACCGCCACACTAGGAATCCTCCTACTTGGAACAATGGCTGTAGATCCAATGATGCTCTTACCTACCCAGCGAACTTCCCGTGGTAAACAATGCACCGACTACATCAGCAATACGTATCTGCACTGTTCACATGAGTGTATGGCCCAGTGAAACAACAAAACTTGGGAACTCTGTAGCTGTAAAGGCTTTAATATATTTCCATTTGCGAACTAGTCCTAACGGACCACATGATCCAAAGCACAGAAGAGGTTTACCCGTCTACGAGTGCGGACGAACAGGTAAACTACCAACTGAAGCGATCGATAGTATTGGTTCACTAACCGTTTCCTTGTCGTGCTATCGTCCAACAGCCTGGCGATGGGTACGATGGTCCGTGCTGAGCCATCGTGGCAACTATTATTACACAGCATCATCATTATACACGTTAGCTACAGGTGTAAAACATCTCAGCTACTGTGCCGCAATTCATGAAAGAAAAAAGGAAATAATTACAACAGTTGCATGCCAGCTGAGCTGCCAGCGACGGATGGGCATCGTTCCGGAAAGCTACCAGCTGGCTACTAGGCAACAAGAAAAATTATGATGTAAAATTATACTATGCTAAGAAATGAGACCGTGATTGTAGTGGGGGATAAAAGGAATGAGGAGGGACAAAGAAACTCACAACGGGAACGCCATTGAGGTCGGCTCCTAGCCATGTCAGGTAGTGTATGTAACCAAACGTGTTCATCGTCTTGTGGACACCAACCAGCGAGCCGTGACGTTCCAACCGAGGCCAGCTCTGAAGTGAGGGCCTTCATTCCTCCCGGCCAAGTCATCACTTGGCCACCTCTCCTCTTCTTTCATCCACACCCCCGGCGCGCAAACAACGCACGTCTTGGAAGTCGGTGGGCTGGCATGCGCAACACGTGGCCAAGCCACCGGAGCCTTGTGCGTGAACTGACGGTGTTGAGCGGTTCAGTTCCTTTTCCTGTGCCATAAACAAGGCGTCGAACACGCCCGTTGCTCACGCGGTGTTCCCACCAGATGTGAGCTAAATTACGAAGGCACCGGTGGTCGAACGTAACTAGCCTCTTCAGGTCCGTTGCTTTAAGGGGCTAGGTTTCACAACCGTACAGTAGGGTCGAACGCACCGCTGCATTGTACACTCTACCCTTCAGGGCAAGAGTGATGTCGCGCCGCCACCATAGGTGGCAAAGACTAGCAAAAGCACCTCGAGCTTTTGCTATACGGTTCGTGATCTCGTCTTCGATCCCAAGGGCGCTGATACAATTTCCCAGGTAGTTGAATTTCTGAACGACTTCTAGCTGATCCCCACCAAGGGTCAGTGCAGGAAGCGATACCTGCCCCTCTTGGAGGAGAGCTTTGTACTTCGATGGTGCAAAGCAAAGCCCGAAGCAGCTGACAGCCAGTGCTAATCTGTCCAGTGCAGCTTGGCACGTCTGGGAGCTGTCACAGATGAGGGCAATGTCATCTGCATACTCCAAGTCAAGAAGTCGTTCTCCTGGAAGTAGCTCTACACCTTCTAAGTCTTGTCCAGTAAATGCAATCTGCATAACGTCGTCAATAGCGAAATTGAAGAGGAAAAGTGACATCGGGCATCCTTGTCTCACACTGCTGAAGATAGTGAAGGGCGGCGACAGCTTGCCATAAGCCTTCACTCTGCCCGTGCTACGCGCGTATAATCCTCGGATAATATTTACATATTTCTCGGGCATAACTTTCCTGAGTAGACAGTCCCAAAGGGCACTTCGATCAACCGGACTGAATGCACCTTTGATATCGAGGAACATGATTACAGTGGGCTGCCAACATGTGTGACAGGGCTCCAACAATTGACGTAAGGTGAACATGTGGTCGATGCAGCCACGACCCCGACGAAACCCGGCTTGCTCCTCACGAATCTGGCTTTTACGAGCGCCAGTCAGTCTGGGAAGAATAATGGAGGCGAGTAATTTGGAGGCGATGAGGATCACACAGATTCCTCTATGGTTGCCACATTCTGAGCGCGAGCCTCCTTTGAAGATGGGAACAATAAAGGAACGGCTCCAGTAGGTAGGGACAGTTTCCTGCTCCCACAGTTTCACTATTAATTCATGTAAATCATCAAGGATAGCAGGGCCGCCGAATTTGAAGTAGGCTGGATGAAGATCATCTGGTTCCGCGGCTTCGTTCAGCTTCAACAGTCAGATCTCATATTTGCCTTCTGAGCGAGAGGGCGGATCCAAAAGGACAGCCCAAGGAGCAGGATGATCACTGGCCGGTGAACAATCGAACAATTCCGGTCGATTAAATTGTTTTTCAAAATGCTCAACCCAACGTTCCAAACGTTTCGACGAATAGTGAATATGCTGTCCACTCTTGTCACGACTTGTTTCACTAACACCAGGTCTCCTGCTGCCCGTTTCACGTGTCAGATGGAATAACTTTCGATGGTTACCAAGGGCAGTGGCCACTTCCATCTCTGACGCAAGAAGACAGCACCAGGATTTGCGGTCTCTTCAGGCTAGCACGGACTTTTGCCCTTAGCTCTTTGCGAGTTTCATTGTGTTCTATTTCAGCCGGAATATGCCGGCGAGCATCGATAAGTTCCAGAGACCGCGAAGAGCCCGAATGTCCATTTTGGCTATTAGACTTATCACATGAAGATTTGCCTGCTGCTAGTAAGGTCTGGCGAACATGAGACTAGTGGTCTTCAAGTGTCTCCAGTGAGCGCTTCCTCAACTCGCATGTCAGCATAGTTTGATAGGTATTCAGAACAGCTGGATTCGTCAGTTGGCTGGTGTCAATGCGCTCACAGCGTCATCGTCTGCGTCCGCCAAAACGCATCCGCATGTCAGCACATACAAGTGCATGATCGGTGCCCACACATGTGCTCCAAATCGAGCGACAGTTC